CATGATGGACTGCGCTCCGCTTGTTTAGGTTTTGTTTCCAGCCACGACATTCGACCAAATTATTCTCCACGAAGGGCTTTAAAGTTTCCCAAGTGCCTGTGAAAGCCTGGAAGCGCTGATAGTGATCCTATTTCTCAGCTGAGTGACTGCATTCAGCCCCAGCCATATTGATATGCAAAACGTTAAGGGTCCCGGCTCTAAAGATGGTTTCTGTCTGCCCTGTGAAAGGGACCCATACTTTTTTAAAGCCCGGGCCTTTCTAAAGCTGCACAATACCATATAGACTATGCCATTTAAAGCATCTGAAGCGACCCAAAATGTATTGAAAGCTTGCTTTGCAGACTCATTAAGACTACTCAATAGGTTCTGGCAAATACGGTGCCGGGGCTGACCGCACGGATTAAGACTTTTGAAGTGTTACACAAACCCCCTGCTTAAACTAATTGCTGCCCCGCAGCTCATGAGGTCAAGTATTTGTATTCATTGCCTCCGAGAGGAGCCACTTATGGGTCTGTCCAGGTGAAGTCTGCACTTCATTAGATCAAGACAATAAAAGCAGCTTGGGGTAGGAAGGAAGAAGATGAAATCTCCAGGCTCTTCCTCTGAGTACAAGCACAGGGATGTGTCCTTATGCCCACCATGGCAGAGATTTGGGTTGTTTCTGTTGCTTTCAAGAGTCCCAGAGGAGCGGTTTGCTTCCAACCAAAGGAAGGGTGAGCACTGCTTGAGCAGTGATGGTTTGAAGCTCACTGAGCAGTTCTCTGCTATGATGCTTCATTCCTCAGGGTCAGGAGGGTTCCCTTCACCAGGCCAGTGGGGATCCCATCGTATGCTAGTGCCTCATGTGTTTCTCATGGCTATGGAGAGCAGAAGCCACCGTTGCCATTGCTGCCTCTTCCACCTAATAAACCCCCTAGATTTAGGAAAAATCAGCAGTTGATGTACTGAAGGTGTCAGTGGAGGCACAACACGGCTCTTGTGCCATCTCATCGGGAGGCAAGGACCACTGGGGAAAGAAATTCCATCTCCTTATTGTGGGTTCCTTGATGGAGTATATTTGGGAGCTCCTTCCCTGATGACAAGCAGTGGCCTCATAGGGAAATCTAAGCTGAACCCCCCTTTGCAGTGGCTGTTGTAATCATCAGTGTCAGCCCATGGACCCTGGCTTTGGGGCTGCTGCTGCTGGGTGTGGGCAGGATTTGGGGGTCTCACCCTAGTGCTCTGTGGTCCCTGCACGGGAGGTGTTGTAGGGACAGAATTGGTCTGAAACACCTCCAGAGGCTCAGGGACAGGCATCACCCTGTGACTTTCTGCACAAGGAAATGAAGTTCTCCAAAGATGATGCTGAGATGTCTTCTCTGTGCCTGCTACTGCTGGGGAGGGGACACAGTCCCATATGGATGCTTTTAGGGCTTTCTCATTGTATCTGTCTCAGATTGATAAGAATCCCCAAACCCAGAAGGTGATATTTACCCTGAGGCGGCTTGGAGAATGTACTTAAAACTCAGGTGAGCACCCAACATCTCCCTGCTCCCCATCCACTGGTGCTTCCCTGGGGAAGTGATTCTAAAGGAGCTCCCAAGAGTCTGGGCACGAGTGTGCCCACTTCTGCTTGCCCAGAGGACAATGGCAAGATGCTTTTGGGGCACCAGGATACATGGGGGAAGTGCCTGAGCAAGAAGATGATGGAGACCCAGCGTTGCTGCCAAGTGTGGAATGAAGTTTTCATCCCCGTCTCAGTTCACCAAAGTTTCCATTTCTAACCCCGTTCATGTTTTGAGAATCCAGCTATCCAAAGCCTTGTGGTTCCTGGGCCTCCCTCTCCATAAGCCAGGAAAAGCAGGGTTGCAAGAGCTTTCCAGAGTTTTTATTTACTCCTTTTTCTTTTATACCAAATTTAGGACAGAAGGGGAAGAACAAACATAGGGAAAAAAATAAAGGTCCAAAAGGAAGACATTAAACCTCTGCTCCCTCTGTTTAGGTCTGCAGGAGAGCAGTAGGACTGATTTGCAGTCACACTTTTCATCTTAAACTGTTTGGGAATGTTTTATAACCAGAGGAAGTCAAGTTTGCCCTGGAAACACCCCATCCATCCCCATTCCCTGCCCTCTGCCCTGTCCTCAGGTGGGGCTCGTGCTGCTGGAGTGTGTGGGGCAGCTGCAGGCTATAAATGCATGGAGATGGGAGGTTGAATCCTTCCTGGAGGACCTGTTCTGGCTGTTGAGGGCTGCCCTGGCTTGGGGAGCAGGAGCTGGCTGGTAAGGGGATGTGGAGGTACTGCTGGGGGTGTTGGGCATCCTTTGGGGGGGCTATGGGGCCAGTTTGGGATGGAGCAGTGTGGTTGTGTGCAGTGGTGCTCTGAGAGTGTCTGTGGGTGCTGGAGCACCTCAAGGCTTCTGGTGTTAGGGCTTAGAGTGTCCAAGAGGAGCTTTGTCCCATGGTGCAGAAACGCTTCTCCCCAGGGTAACTGGTGCTTCTCTGGTGTGTGATGGTGGCCCTGCAGGACATGGCTGTGTTTCCCAGGGATAACCTGCAAATCCCTGCTTATCCGGTGCTTGAGGGTGCCCAGAGCCACGCTGCTTCCTGCTTCAGGGTGCCCTGTGTGGCCTTAGCTCCCAGCCAGCACAGAGAGGGAGCCCCTGGGAGGGATGTGAGTGTCTCCTCACAGTGTCCTGCCTTCCCACCAAGCCTTTGGCACCATGTGCAGCCCTTGAGCAGCACTAACTCCACTGGCTTCTGCTCTGGTTCCCATCTCCATACACAAAATAACTGCCATATTCCCCAATAGACAAGAAAATGCCCACGCTGAGGGAGAGACTGCTGTAATCGCAACCACGTGCCCGGTGGTGGCTTCCAAGTCATGTAGAGCATGGGCTGGATCCCACATGTGGGCACAAATAACCACCATCAGGTGCAGGCAGCTCTGGGGCACGTTACATTAATGTGCATGGTGCTTGTGTCTAATGCAGGAGCAAGCTGGGCTGCTGTGGTACAACCTGCGCCCTGATGGTGGGTGAGGTTGTTCCCTGGTTGGGGTGAGATGAGCTCAGCCTGTGTGCTCTGGAAGCCTGTGAGCAGCAGCAGGGTGCTCTTGGGGAAACAGTAATTACTCACTGAAATAATGAACCAAATGAGTTATTTGTGAGCATCCTGCTGGGATAAATACCTGTCTGAACCGGGATGGGGCGTGCTGCTGGCACGTCCCCACTGCAAGGGTGTCTCGGAGGGTCCCCACTGCAGGGTTCCTCCCTGC